CGTATTTCTCCTGTTGATAAATCTTCCTCACTAGCTTCCATTTAGTTATGGATCATACTTTAAAAAGTGCTGCTCTCTTCACATATCACTACGAATCAGGAGCAAAATAAAGTTCTGATAATTAAGAACATAAGTAGGAACCCTCTGATCTTAAGGAAACAAACACGAGTCATTTAGCTACCGTCCCGCAACTTCTTTATCTATTTTTTTTTTTACATTTGAGAAACTTAAATGTAACTGCACTGAAAATGTACATCGTGTATTATTTTTTGTACTATGTGCTATTTGTGTTTTATTTGATTTCATCTTATTCTAAAAGATTTAATTGTCCAATTCACTGTGTTCCTTAACCTGCCTTTATTACCCACTTGGGTAGGGCAGCGCTACAAGCTGTAAAACTGACCTAAACTGTCCCTGCCATATTGTTTCCTTGTCAAGCTGATGTACTGCGTTTGCCTATTTGCTCATCCAGCAGCTTCAGAGCAACATTAGCATTCATTTGGAGTATTTGGCCACCTGTTGAGTATAAGTCCACAATTCACTCTTTTGGTCTCTATTTACTCATGAGGGAAATATCTGGTTCTTTACTCTGCTAAATGCTCCAATATGTCCACAGGCTAGTTGCAAATTCTGTGTGTCTGCTGTTTGGTGCTTTGCAGAAACAGCAGAGGTTGGGGTTTTAGGAGTTTTTGATGAGAGCGGTAACAGTGACCCAAAACAGTGAAGGTGCAGACCAGGGTTAGGGTTAGGGTTAAACCCTAACCCTAACCCTGTGTTTGAAAGATGCAAATCAAATAAACTTGCCTTGTTGTGTTAGTTTTCAAAAGGAAGAGAGTGAGGAAAAGAGAAAATTGCCAGCAGATTAGCTGTGACTGGTTTCCATTTGAACCTGTGTGACTATCGGGACTGCTCACTCATGTCACACGCCAACCAAATCTCCAATCTGGGCTTTTACACTGCGACAAAGAAAGGCCGCTGCCTCCATCTCCCTCGCTCACAACTCCCTAACTCGAGGGGCCGATGGTGAAGGAGATGGAGAGCGGGGACGAGGGAGAGGGAAGGCGAGAAAGAGAGAGAGAGAGAGAGAGAGAGAGGGAGAGAGAGAGAGAGAGAGAGAGAGAGAGAGAGAGAGAGAGAGAGAGAGAGAGAGGGATGTGTGAGCGATAAAACGCCACAGGCTGCCTTAATGAAAAGCCTCTCATGGCGATGGAGAGATTGCCTGTGGAATAGGCAGCTTGGTGTAGCGTGCAGACTAATTAAAGTATTGAAGGGTTTGGGGTGACAGGGGGAAGATTAGACCTGCTCCCAGGGTTAGCTGAGCTGAGGGGAACCAGACAAATTCACCTTACATCTGGGACAACTGGGATAATGGGGGAATATACCGACAAACAGTGAAGACTTTGTGAACTGATGCAACTCCCATGTGGACACTGTTGTTTTCTAAAGCTGCTGCCTGCTATATTTGTACGATCAGGACGGATGGTAGTTTTAAAACCTGTTTCAAAGGTTAGGTCACCCAAATTACAATCTTATTATAAACAGTCTTTTCATGAGGACTAGTTCTTCTATAGAAAGTAGTTCCAGTGAGGTCTGTGGATTATCTTGATGAACTGAGAAAATAATGTTTCTGGAAGAGAGAGGTTGACGTTTTTAAATGAAATTAACAGCCATACAGCGTGCGGCTCATGTGTGTGTCTCATCATGGCAAAATGTGTTCCTAGAGACGCCTACTGTTCTGAACTACTGCAGAAGGGCTTTTGATTACTTGATATGTCTGTCTGTGGACTGATTTTGTCAACGCGGTAGCGTCACAACCATGCAACATGCAGTCATGAAACTTTACAGGTGTATTGTTGAGACCAAAATGAAGGCTGAGTTCGAAGACGGGAGTGGTCCGAACAACGACACCAGACGTAGGGGGTTGGAAGTGATGAAAGATGCCACCAAAACGGTCACACTCTAGAGCCCTGAATCAAATTTTATGGAAATCAATCCAATTATTGTGGAGACATTTCACTCAAAGCCACATATGTCAACCTGTTGGTGGCGCTGTGCAAAAAGTTGGAGGATCACCGAAGTCAGGGGGCTTTATCCTCCGGGGACCATGACTGTCTGCACAAAATGTCCAAATTGATCCATCAAATAGTCGATGAGATATTTTAGTCTGGACTAAAGCGGTTAACGAGAGCAGCTACTCAGGTCATGTGATAACAACTAAACAATCTCACTGCTAATGAGAAAGCCAGCCGCTGATGAGATGTGGCGGAAATCTCTGCAACAATTAAGTGGAATGTGGGATGAAAACTATTCTCCATTTTTATGCACTTTAGCAGTCTGTTTGTTCATGCTGTTTTTATCACTATACTTTGTGAAAGAAAGACACACATGCAGAAATCAATACCATCATGAGGTCGATTGTACCTAGAAAGCTCATCTCCGTTGTCGGTTTGAAATGCGTTTCCTCTGAGGATTGACTGTATATCTACGGGACTCATCTGGATTCACAGCGGGTAAACCAGACAGTATATCAGATAGGTACACTGGCATTCGAGGTCATCTTGAGTAATTTGCTTCACGGTGAGAACAAATAAGAAAAACCTTGCTCACGAGGAAAAGAATGGAAAACTGACCGACACACGTGAGGAGAAAGGCACAAATATCAGGCTGATTGGGCACCTGGGAAGACAGACTGGGTCAAAGGTCATAGAAAAGCTGTCACTGCTGTGGCCACTCAATGTCTAAACTTCATGTGTTTCACCTCACATGTAGTTACAGTCTCATGATAAAGCCTGCCTCCTCTGGGACGACGTCTTTCATTATTTGCATTATCGTCATCATTATCAGCATCTCTTCTCATCTCAGCATTGCAATGTCACATCTCGCCTTGCTGCTAAAACCACCATTTCCCACAGGATTAATGATGTAGCTGCCTGCCTGTCATTCAAGTGCTGAGAAGTAAACTCCTTTCTGCTGGCATCTCAACACCCAACAGCAGAAAATACCAGGGGATGATGTGGAAGGAACTCATTAGTGAGTGGCATTTAAGATGCAATCCAGTAACACGAACAGGGGATTTATAAAATCAACAGAGAATGATTGACAGCTTCTAAACTGGTGGAGTTTTTCCTTTCTCTCCAGTGACTGTGTTAGCCAAACAACCATAAACTCTGCTCTGAGGGATTAATGATGTAACGGATATTACAAATCGATATTTGGTGACACTTAATGACCATCTCCTGGCAACAGGCACAAGAACCCCTTAGGTGAACAAGTTGTCCAGGGTGCGCAGTAAACAATATTATAGCAGATGTACATCCACAGCAAAGAGATGTGAGGTGCCTTGCAGAAGTATTCACACCCCTTGGCCTTTTCCCTATTTTGTTACATTACAACCTGGAATTAAAATGGATTTTTGGGGACGGGGGGGGGGGAATTTACTGTGGTGGACCGACACAAAATTGTCAAAATTGGTAAAGTGAAATGAAAAACTTCGCTACAAAAGACCCTAAATAAGATCTGGTGCTACAATCAGAAGTCACATATTTATTTAAATAAAGTTCTCCTGTGTGCAATCTAAGTTTCACATGATCTAACGGATTAATGTTACAAAATGTAACATTAATCAGAGACCAAAGACAACCCTGAAGCTCCACAGGGGAGATTAGAGGATCTGTATATAGGACCACTTTAGGAGGGTGGCTTTATGGAGGAGTGGCCAGAAAGAAAAAAAAGACATTGCTTAAAGAAAGAAAATAAGAAACCTTGTTTGGAGTCTCCCCCATGCATGCTTTTACACTAGATGACACACATTGCCTGATAGAAAACACTACACCTGTTCTTATTTAACTCATTGATCTCAGATAACCCATTAGTGCTTTTCTTATTACTGCAGCACACTTTAAGCTCATCTCTTGCAGTTCTTATTGATTTCCAGTAGAAATACAAGGATTTATGAGAAGGAGCAGGCCATTTTCACCTGACGTTTATCCAGATTGTTCATCCTCATGTATCAGGTATTGTTGTGTTTGCTGCTATAGAAGACAAAGATCAGCAGAGTTTACAGTACATTTGGTCCTCCTCTGGTCAGCTCAGAATAGGATTTGCAAGATAAATATTGATAATGTATATTCATTGAAAAAAACGTGAAGTGGCTTTGCCAGAGTTTTGTATTTTATAGGTATTTGAAAGTTAAAACTTAAATCCCTTGACGTTTTTGTAAAATAAAACAAAAAAAATCCCCCATTTTTCAGAACAGAGATTCATTTTTCAAGGATCCAATCATTCCTGTGAGTTACCGATTTTAGGATTGAAATTACAATTACAATAAAAACCCATTACTACAGCTCAATGTAAGATACTATATTACATTGACAGCTCTCTGTGGTAGTTCTTGTGGCTGACTATCACTTCACTGCTGTTTTTTGTTTTTTTTGTTTTGTATTAATATTTTTAGTCTTTATTCCTGTTCTGTATTGGTGTCGTTTAAGCAACTGGATGCCCAAATTTCCTTTGGGATGAATAAAGTTATCTATCCATCTATAAAACTGTTATCTCCACAACATAGGATGAGGGCTGCCGCGATTGTTTGGAGTAATCGATGATGCTGATGCTGAAAATGCCTCAAAATCAATATTTTAAATCGACGCACGTTTTGGTTTTCTTTAAAATATGTTTTTTTGTCCTTGCAGCTGCTACATACGTCCATAAAGCTGAAAAGTTGTCCGTCTGCTACCTCGGAAATTCCACTGAATGCGTGTTTAAAGGGAAACTTTGCAGGTCTTCTTCCATGCTGCAGCACACATAGATCCACCCTGCTCACCCTCTCAGAACACACGCACCGACAAAGTCCAATCATTACGTTAGGGGGCCCAATTAAGAAGGATTTGATTCATTGTCAGAACAAAAATATCAAAAATGTTTTTGAAGATTATTACCAATCCTGCAAGCATACATGTATGTACTGTCTCGTATTGTATGTATTCGTGGATTTTGTCAAATACCTTGACGGGTTTCTTGCGCGATGACTCAGCCTCGTTGTTCTCGGCCTCCTCGTGCTCCTTGCTACCTTGGGGCAGGTTGGAGTAGTTGGCCAGGCTGCTGAGAAGAGACGACACCATGGGGCTGGTGTCCATCTCCTCCTGCAGAGATACACACACACACACACACACACACACACACACACACACACACACACACACACACGAGGGCTGGAGTTAGTGTTTTCATCAGGCTTTTGAAGGAAATGCAATGCATCTCAGCCAGCCAGGTGAACCAGGCACTGTAACATTTATTCATTCTTACCTGTATTGATATTAAGTGTTCTTAAGTGTTACTATTTCAGGTACTGTGCTACACTGATTTTGCAAATTCAAACCCATCTGGAAAAAAAAGTGCTGACACAATAAATAGTTTACCTTCTGATTTCTTTTACTTTTTTCATGTTTAATCAAAAAACCCAGTGAGAGCACAATGTCAATTTGAGCAGAGCTGTGGCAAATTGCCCCGCTGAAGTTCTTTCCTGTAGCAGTGGGATATTTGCTCCAACATGCCCTTCACTCAGTAATTACCCTCATTAATAGATGTCAGAGCCCCTATTTAATCACTGAATTATGAGACAGAGAGTGGAACCTGCTTCTTATGATCAGGCCTGATTGTGTGTGTTAACAAATCAACGTGTGTGTGTGTGTGTAGAACAGTGGACTGTACCTCAAACAAGGCCATGTTCTTGCCGTCATACTGCTGGCTCTTCTCTGCGGCAGCATCACTGCTGTTGATGAAGGGGCTGCTCTCCTTGGGAATACTGTCACCTGGAAGCAGAAACACACACACACATATACACACCACTTTTAGAGTAAACTGAAATAGAGAAAACCAGCAGAGCGCCTAATGCACAAACCAGACATGAGCTTCTTCGTGTCAAAATAACACTTTCAACTCATTGTCGAAGCAAAGAAATACACACGGACAGAAAGCTCCAACTGGAGGAGGTCTGCCAGGAGAGGAAGGGAGGCTTTTTGTCTCCACAAAGCGCCCACAGTCAGGAAAGCAGAGGAACAGAACCATAACTAATGGAGTGTGCATTCACAATATGTGCGGCGCTATATATTCCATATGGCCAGAGGAAGAACACAAACTGGAACATCTCAATCAGTTCTTCGCGACACTGACAAACAACTAGATCACAAGTTTGAACACTAACACAGAGAAATGACAAGAAATGTCTTTTCACCCTAGAAAACACAGAACAGTGGAAACAGTGTGTTATTTCGGTGACCGCTTGCTGCAGGCGTCATGACTCCATCCAGAAACATCCGTCCCACAAGTTCACAGTATCAGGCACGAGGCACATCTCCAAAACAAACGAGATGGGAACGACTGCCTCTGACTCCTGGGAGAGAACATTGACGAGCTCATTGATTTCCAATTGAGGTTTGAAAATTGACCACAAACGTCTCACAGGGTGACTGCTCCACTACTACTAATAGGAGCCCTCCAGCAAGTAAAGCAGTTTATTGTGAAGAAGCCACAGGAATTCACAAGTAGTCCTCGCTTTATTAGTTAAGGTTGATAGATGTTGGGCCATTGAACTATTAGACCTTTTAAACAGGTATTTGTTTAGCTTAACTAATGAGTTAGGACTTCAGGTGTTTCTTGTTATATACATCATTTAGGTAAGAAACATATTTGCCTGTGCTGCTGATAGAATTACAACCGCATAATTGTGGTTCTACATTAGACACCTGTAGGAAAATATCTCAAGGTTGAATCTCTACAGAACAGTTTCTTTTTTGTTTTGCCACATATTGAAGGGTCGGTGGTTCTGAAACAAATATGAATGACATTTACAGCATATTGAACCACGAATGGGCTTCATTCATTAATTCCCTGTGTTACTAAATAAACTTAACTGCCAAAGTGATGAAAATATAGGAAATTGTATTTCAACAACTAGCTTACTAGCATGACCCAAATTAACCAAATGATCTTTCACAGCTCCTATGCATAGCAGAAACAGGAATTGTGGTGGGTAACAACGCAAATAACCGGTATTTAACAAAGCTATGGTATTTACCTCCATTGTAAGCTTACGTGCACATAACTAATTAGCAACCGTACCTCACCGTACAGCGCATGACGGTGGTTCAGTGCAATAACACTGATTGCTATTACTAACAAACCCATCAGGATTTAGACCCAATTGAAAGCTTACAACAGACCGTTTTCACCTAAATTGGTAGTGAACTACTTCTCCATCTCATGTCCAACACACAGACCATTTATTACTCACTTTCTTGTCCGCACACAATCAACAGCCAGACATTCAAGTCCCAAAGTCAAACCATTAAGATTCATTCTCTCTGTGTACTGTGTCACCTTGGCTGCACATGATTGGTGGAGCTAACGTCAATCAATAAAATAACCAATCAGAGACACAGAGACATAAAACCGCGCTGCCTTCAGATACCGTGTCCTTTTTAACACCAATTATGGCTCTGGGCAGGTAGAGGAATGTGGGCACTAATAAGAGAGCCATAGCGTCATGGGGGACATGGACGCTGGGCTCGATTGTCAGCGGGTGCATTTGATTATTGTGGAGACAACATGGAGCAGGTTGAAGAGAAGCTACAGTATATAAAATGTCAGGAAAAAGTGAGTGTCTTCAGTATTTAGTTTTGTCCAAACAGCAGTTCAGAACCTGCAGATACTATAATATAATAGTTACTATAATATGAAACAACAAATCATCATCACATACGCATACCTGAAAATTATACATATTCAGATTTGCAAACTCTGCCTAAATGCATTCATATGGTCTTATTCATTAAGTGTTTAACGCGTGTAAATGTTCTCAGTAGCACGTGCATAAAACGAAGTTGTGATTCATCAGACGTATGTGTCTTTCAAAATGGCTGGTTTACCTGTTCAAGACGATATCAGATGATGTGGAAATGGCAGTAAAAATGGTCAGAAACGTTCATTTATGTACAAATTCGCTCTTCCCATAATTTATAGCTAAGGCCTATTGTGAATTGGGACGCGATGATTTGTCATTTTTGGATGCGACGATGCACCAAGACAGAGATGGAGAACAATGGTTCAACGTCTGCAGTCGTGTTTATTGTAGACCTGTGTTTGGTTATTCTACACCTCACTGTTGTGTGCATTAAGCTTTAATAAGTCTTCGTACTTGAACTGCTTCCCGACCAGACGTTTGCTCGACTTGTCTGGAAAAATAATTGAATTCAGAATCCCTTTGTTCCCCAAGTACAATGAAGGTCTTGGTGGCAAAAGGCAGCACAAAGTAAGCTGTCTTATTTGCACCTTCCCCTTCGAGCGTCTCTTGAGGGAGACAGCAGATTGCTCTCCCTCTGGCTCTCCGTCCCGTCTTGGACAGAGCACACTAAGACCGAGTTATTTATAGCCGGGTTGCTGCAGCAATGTGCCATGACGTCGGGGCACCGCTAACAGCCGGCGCGCTGTTCTATGGAGACACAGCGATAGGGCCACTCAGCGACGGGGACACTGAGACAAGGGGGGGGGGCCGTGTACAGAGACACAAGCATGAAAAGAGCACGAAGACAGAAGCTGGCAGAGGAGAGGTTGATACAAAGAGATGGAGAGCAAGAGAATGAGGGTGCGGATGAGAAGGTGGAAAGAGACACAGATAGATGGGGCGAGAGCGAATAGTGACAGGGAGAGAGATATGGGCTCAGACAGACAAAGACGAGGCGGCCAGACCTGAAATGGGAACCCACAGAGGGAGAGAGGGAAGAGAGAGGCACACTGTAAAATGTAAAAGCTTCTGCAGCACTTAAGGTTGAGTTCACTTTGACCTGCAGGTTAAAACGTACACAGGCGGTAAAAGGGAAGCTCCTGCAGAGGGTTTTCAGAACACACGTATTATTTAGTTGCTTGTTTAAAACTATTTTTACCTCTTCAGACCATGTGAGGATCGTACGCCTCTACGATAGTGCTACATGCATCCAGTGGGAATTAGTATCAGGCTTGTTGTGCAGGGGAGGGGTGATAAACGTCCATGAGCACAGAGGGAGGTGTACAGTATGCGATAATATATACGCCTTTAAACACACACAACACTGAAACCACTCGCTAGAGGCTGCTTCGTTACTATATTTATCCCCTCGTCCTACTTCAAAGCACTTCATCAGGTTTACATCAACTTAATGCAGTGCAGTACTACGGCGATAACTTGGAATATTGCTCGACAGTAGATAACGGATTCACATACGGTACATCTAGCTCTTCCAAGATGGGGGGGGGGTTTGGGCAGTTGGTCGCAGAAAACGAGCAATTTCAAGGTGTAACCTCTTAAGAATTGTAGACATTTTAAAGACTAAATGATAAATTAATGCATTTATCAAGCAATTCATAGATGAATCCATAATGTTATTGTTTGTGCAGCCTGACATGTATGCAGTCCACCTTAGTACAAATGAGCAATCATGACACTGGATCGCAGGATACATGAGCTTTGAATGTTCCTCATACCAACTCTGTTTCTGTTACTATGCACTGTACGACTGGAATAAACAAATACAATTTCACTGATATTTTTTGCATTTGTGATTGTTTAAAAAAGTGAGGTGTGTGGCGATTTTTTCACGAGACCAACTTGTCTTGTGTGTTGTCTTCTTAAATCTCTGTAAGAAAAGAAATCTCAATAAGGAATACAGTTGAACTAACTAACTAACTAAGGAACAAATACAGATACCTTTGCATCAAGTAATTTATCATTTACATCAAATGGTTATATCATTAAATCTGAGGTGGTGGTGGGAGTTGTGACTGCAAAATATGTTGGCATGAATCAGCAGACTAACAGTAAAATGTGACCAGTTAAAATGGCCGTGTTGTACACCTGCATGGATGTGATTGGACGTTACTAGTCAGCTGATAGTCAAACAGCTGACGGATGTGGTGAAGCTTCAGTGAAACAGCTGACACTGAACTTCAACTACGATCCACTGTTTAACATATTAGTCAGATTTGTAAAACAACACTTGGAGTGAATAGTGTTTCAAGGATCACACAGACACTGTTGTACATCTGAAGGGCTAATGCCCAGAGACAACTTCTCTATCCCATCACTTATCTCGCCACGGCCCATTTCTCCTCACCGGCTAATAATTAAAACTCCACCATCAAAGAAATGATAGATAACCCCCATTTTGGAAAAATGACAGTGCCGAAAAGAGTTTTGCTCGGACCGCATCGCCCAAGCAGCTTATCCTCCTTCAATCTGATGGGATCCGTCCAACAATGGCTCTCGCTATCAAAGCTTCTCCCTATCTATGGTCAACATCCAGAGCTTTACCGCTCACTGAGCATGCCATCGTCTTCCAAATCCTCGGCAAAACAAAAACACACTTCTCTCATCCTCTTAGACTTTTTACAGTTTGTTATGAATATGCTGAAACTCATACTCGATGCACTTTATAACCTAGTTGATCAAATGAAAGGATGTGCTCTACTACATGGCTTTGTTTATAGTACATGTGCACACTGGATTTTATACTCAAAGTGAATTGCAAAGAGGCCTTGTTTGTAGCGTGGGAGGGAAAATGCATGTCGATCATTATTTTCAATGCCGTCGCTGTGACGTTCAGTGCGGTTGTACGAGCTACAGCAGCACACACTGCGCTGATTGCATGACAGAAAAGACCAACCAGCATTGACAGTTATTCTATTGAATTAATTTGAACACTTTTGATAATCGATTGATAATTTTTCAGGAAAAGAAAGCCAAACGTTTTGTGGCTCAAGCTTGCAATCTATAGATCTG